TATGTGCAGAAGGCTTAATCAAATCAGAATCAAACTTTTCTGCTCTAAACCTTATGCTAAAATTGATATCTTTGTCGATAAGGAAACTCAATTTCGACACACTATTCGTTGGCTTGAAAAGTCATTTCCAGGATCAGGATCCATTACAGAGCCATTGCCTGCAATTAATTAGGCTTATATTAAAAAATTACTTTTCAATTAGAATACACCACATCAACACTACAAAAAATGAACCGCGCTATAGCACAAGGCAACATCTGACCAAAACTATCACCTTTAGCCATCAATAATTCTTTTTTTTTATATAGAATAACTTTTTGTAATATCAATAATTATCATTAAGAATTGTTCATACTGTATTCTGTAGATTAAGGTTTTTGTTTTGTAAGTACGTGAATAAAAATTAATATTATATATATATTATCGTTTTTTTATCGAGTAGAAGTATAAAAATCCCATTCCCTTTGCCTAAATCTATTTTTATAAAGATATCATAACTTTAAAACCATCCAAATCCTGTTAAGCGCGCGGCTTTTTGCCCGCGTTAGCTCCGTCTCTCTCTCGGATGTTTCTTTCTAACGTTGGCTGCAAGCAGCTGTACGTACAAGGATAGGTACGGGCGGGTCCATAACCTTTAACATGTCAATGTGTCCAACACACATGGTCCAAGCAGTGAGTGCCGCAAGGTGTTATACAGGGTAGTGCAGCCAATCATCCTGTAGCCAGGGCGTTTACGATGCTTTTTCAGAAATCGCGGGGATTTGGCTAAAGAGGTACGGCGCTCAGCTATTGCGGTACCCACTCCCGACTTTGCTAGAAAGGAGAGGATCAAAAAGTCCCTTGAATTCGTGTTCACCGGAACAAACATACAAGTTAGGCTCCAGACTCCTACCGAAGACCAAGCCAAATCAGCTAATATCAAGGGAGCTGCCACCAAATACAAGGAAGGAAAAAGGTGATGGAACACTGAAATCGTAGTTTTGTCTGCAAGGATATAACCTATGCTGATCTCCCGAGGAAAGTCAAACACGCGGCTTATTTTGACGAACTCAGAGTAACAGCGAAAGGGCGGAGGAGCATACCAATTTAACAAGATAGTGGCAGGGCAACCCTACAAGTCCGCAGTATGGCAGGTCTACTAGTGAAGACAAGCGGCATCTGTACTACCTCTCCGAGGACGTATAAATCAAGTCCGTCATTTCTGGACCAAATTCGCAAAGTGGACTAGCTCTAAACGGCGCCGATGTCCGACAGCGTCCCGCCGAGGGTGTGCACGGACATCAGTACCTCTGAGGACGAGGAGGAGGTTCGACCTCAGTCATGCTCAGTAGAATTCAATCTGCGAAGAAAAGTTGAAGCATGTTCTGTGCGTCACAGATATTACAAAATTTCATTTACCGTCGTCGATAACTTTCTCAGGATGCTTATCCACCGCGAGACCAGACTCATTCGGATAGCTCTCAGAAACCCTGGGCGCTGAGGATCACCCTGCCGAAGAGGCACATGTCATTCTTAGTGGAAGACTAGCAAGACCTGAAGGACCTAATGAATTCCACCCGGACCTCCCGACTGTGACGATCATATCGGGGTAAATCTGCATATTCAATCACAATCGCTTAAGAGAATGAATATGCATGCCTTCATTTTGCTACCAGACAACTGTAAAGCAGCAGAAAAAAATTCTTGAGTTGTGGACCAGCAGTTCTGAAGATGAGGAGAAACTGTAAGTGGAGAGAGATTTTGAGGAGACTAGGAGACATCCGAGTGACTTCCTAGGATATATTCATCCTTTGGATGGATAAACCACTTCCGAGCATGAAGCAACCAAAGAAGATGCCTGGGAAAACCCATCATGAGCGAGATAAACTCGCAACCAAACACATCTAAGAGACACAAGGCAGCTTCACCGGGGACGTCTAAAAGGCGATCGCCTACTGCGTCCTGCTGGAAACGATTTACTAACTTTGAAGGGGAAGTTGAAATCATATATCTCACTGGAGATGACACCGATAAAGAAGCGGAACATATAGAACGAATAAAGATGAGAAAAACTAGAAGGATAATATGAAGAGAGAAAGCAGAAACTATAATAGTAAAAGATACAGGGTGCGGCAGAGAGGATGGTCGGTTTTAAAAAAATCATAAAATAGTTAATTTTTACTCGAAAACAAATTTATTGATGGAATCAAGTGTGGGAAATCACATCAGTCTTGTGGTAGCCGAAACCGTTGATGCAGTGCTGGAGGCGTTCTTGGAAGTTCGCGTAGACTCTCTCCAACATCGCTCTCTCAACTTGCGCGACTACCACGCGAATTTCGCCCTTCAATTCGTCCAGAGTTCGGGGCTTGTCCGCGTATACTCTAGCCTTGAGGTGTCCCCATAAGAAAAAATCGCATATGGATAAATCTGGGGACCGAGGAGGCCAATGAACATCGCCAAACCTGGAAATAAGGCGACCAGGGAAGAGAGGGTGAATAACGTCCATGGATGCTCGGGCTGTGTGGGCGGTCGCCCCATCCTGCTGGAACCACACACGTCGGATTGGAACACGTCGCCGTCGTAATTCAGGGAGAAAGAAGTTGGTGATCATGTCGACGCAGCGCTCTGAGATCACGGTAACATCACGACCATTACCGTCTTCGAAGAAGTAAGGGCCAATGATGCAAGTTTGCGATACGATAGCCTAATAACGACAATTCTGCTGGTTAACCACGCTGTTTAGATGAAAGTGGGCTTCGTCACTCATAAACAAAATGAGGTTCTCATTTTGATCAATCAGTGCTTACATCTCACGTGCGAAGTTCATTCGTTGTGCATAATCTCCAGGCTGAAACTGTTGCACAATGGACAATTTGTAGGGGTGAAAGCGGAGATCCATATGCAAAATTCACCTTACCGAACGATAACTAAGGCGAAGTGGAGCAGCATGTTTCCGGGCAGATCGAGTCGGACTGCGAAGAAAGACCTGTCGAACGCGTTCAACATTTTCAGGAGTTCGAACTGTTCGCGGCGCTCCTCTTGGTCTTCTGTTGATCAGTTCACCACGCTTGCGAAGTAATTCAACTCAACGAAGGATGGTGTTTCGAGAGGGAACAGCTCTATTCCGATGAATGTTGAAGTGGCGACGAAACTCACGCTGTACGATGATGACTAAATCATTATTTCGGACGAAACAATCATAGGCGAAAACGCGGTTCTTCACCGTCCAAGGCTCCATAACGGCAACTGGTAAAATAATGCTAGGATCTCATGAGTCAAACGGCACCCTCCCCACCTCTCTCGGAGACGGAGGCGGAGAGTACTACCCATCCCAAAAACGTGCGTCCTCTCTGCCGCACCCTGTATGAAATGTGTCAGCGACATTCCAACTAAGAAAATGAGTAACCCCAGACCTGGAGACCGTGACCCTGCCTCAGTGGACCTAGATCTCTTCATTGATTTTCTTAGAAATAAGGAATGCACACCGCTATTGCACACAAGACTTGCAAACTCGCAAGGGGTCTTCCCGGTAATGCAAGCATATCGTGAAATGCCAATATAACTAAGGAGCTTAAAATTGTCTACGAACGAAATACCACGGATCAGCTTCGTGATACGGCTGCGAAAAAAAACAGGTAAGCGTAACCATAGGAAATCTACCAAGGTTGCCTATAACTCAGCCCGACGGTCTATTAATATGAAGAAAAGAAAAGTCTTGCGCTGCTAAACTTAGCTTTCCTGCTAAAAAGGTAGCTGAGCGTTCCCGTAAACGCATGTCTTTCACCTGATCCAACCTCAGAATGTCGAACTTATCGTTAATGTAGTGCAGGTACCTGGGGTAAAGACTCAAATCCAGACTAGTGCACTAACCAGTTAGCCAGTTACAGCGCATGTTCAGAGACTAGGCCAGCCTAGGATATCTGAGTAGAAACGAGATAATTCGAGTACATCTTCGCCAGTCACTGCTGTATCAAAAAATCATAGCCTTCGACACTGATAAACATTCTATCATCAAATCAACAAGTAGTACCAAAAATGACAGTCAACCGTCAAGAAGCCAGTCAAACACCAATATTGGATATGCCACAAGTGACATGTGAATGAGCCAGCGATCTGGCACAGCAAAAAGTCATCTGCCAAGCCACAGGATATGGCAAAGCGAGTAGTGCCTGCAATGATGGTGATGAATCCACAAGGAGTCTGTCCTAAGATTAAACTAACACCAGTAGTCGGTGCAAGGATGTAAACCCAGCTCGCCCTCCACCCAAGTAGCTGACCGAAGTATGCTACACATTCATCCCGGCTGGTTGACGTCAGAGGAATTTATCATAGGAGATGGGCTGAGACAGGGAGGAGTTCTGAGCCCGATATTATTCATTATGATTATGGATGATGTAATAAAGGCCGTCAAAAGCGAAATTAAAAAAGTACATGTCGGTTTCTAAAAAATGAGGCCAATAAATATTTCAGAGTGCTCAATCGCGGACGACCTGTTATTGTGCCCTAATACCCCAAAAGACTTACAAGATAACCTTAAAATCTGGATCCAGGAATTATCGAAGAGAGGTTTGAATATTAACGTATCTAAAACAAAACTGATGACGACAGCAGAGGGGAATGGAATAAATATAGTTATTAAGGGCGCCCGTATAGAACAAGTCGAAGCTTTCAAATATCTAGGAGTGGTAGTACAAGGCGATAGAACAATAGAAGAGGAAATCAACGAAAGATTAATGCACGCATCTAGGCTCTATCACACAATGAATACATCTTTCTTAAGGAAGAAAATGATAAGCAGAAAAATAAAGATGACCTTGTACAGAGTAGTATTCAGACCCATATTGACATTTTTGAGCGAGAGCTGGGTATTAACGAACAGGCAAAAAAGCAAGTTACAGGGACATGAAATACCTCAGGGCAGTCAAAGGGGTCGCTAGGAAAGACAAAATTAGAAACGAAGTTATTAGAGAAGAGCTGGGAGTGGAATCTGTACTACAAAGGATTGAAGACAACCAATTAAAATGGTTTGGGCATTTAGTAAGGATGAAGGATACAAGGCCAGTAAAACTCATATAGGAAGCAAGTGTTCAACAGAAAACGGCAAGAGGGCGACCGAAAAAGACGTGGAAAGATGGATTGGCGAAAATACTCAAAAACAGGGGAATAAGTTGGAACGAAGCAGTGGGCTAAATTTGTATACATATAATAACTAATAGTTTTAGAGAATGAAATAATCTAATTGCACCTTACACCTACGGGTATATAAGGTTTTAGATAATATATATATATATATATATATATATATATACTTGTCGTCCAAGATATGACGTTATGCGCTTGTTAAAGTCGACAGGTTTGCGTAATATTGCATTAATAGACCACGAGTATTTATATCTCTAATAATTATTTTAAATTCATTTTAACTTAAAATTTATTTTTATACGATTTTCTTAAATGCTGAGACTTGGTTTATTTTAAAGCAGTTTTCAACCTTGCTTGGAAGGTTATCAAGTGGGGAATTTTTGCTTTTCGATGCCGGTTCATTGGTTTGATAACATGGACGTTTGATCTATTCCGGGGGTAAAATTAACTTCAAACGTCTCTAACTTGGAGCCAAGGGTTACAAAGAAACCTCTGAAATTAGAAATGGAGTCACATATCTACCTTCCTTTTTCAGTTAGATGAACCAGCTTCCAATTCCTGAACCACATCTTTTTGGATATCCTGATGTGTTCGCGACTAAAATGATGGGTCCAGTCCAGGTTCCATATCAAGGTTTTGCTCCACGGCCAGCTCCATGACAAGGACCTTATCCTTACCCGATCCAGTTTCTACACCAACATGTTCCCATTATGCAAATACGGTCGCTCTTTTCTGTTGCCTAAGACTTTGAGGTAACTTAATTTCAAATTGGATTGTGTGATTTACGTATGTTTAATCAAAGTTTAACTTTTGGTCAGCATATAACTAGAAAAAAACGTAAGAAGCGTTGGTTACTTATGGCTTCATAGTAAGGAACTGCAGAAATTTACATATAATAAAGGCCATTAAGCTGTTATTTATTTATTGCCACAGAAATTTTACATTAATAAACTCCATAAGGAGATACATAGTAAATACCTGGAGAGAGGGGGATTAATACCTCTGTGCTCAGGAGCCATAAAAAATATTATGTACTAAACTAAAATTAATATAAACAATAAAAAATTATATATAAAGTATAAAGAATTTCATAAGCATAGGGTGTTTTCAAAGTCGAGTCATTTTAACAGCTTGTAGAACTCGTCAAAAGTAGTTGATACATCAGAAATCACCTATATAAAAGTTGCATAATTAGAGAGTTAGTTCACATTATCAAAAAATGTTTAAGAAAAATCATTATCAAGTTAAATTGATACCATTTTTACAAAAAGTGTTGAAAATTGTCCCCATTTTCCCAAGCTTCGAAAATAAAATATTGGTGTCTGCGAATTAAATCACAAGCATTTTCAGTGCGCTGTTGAAGTCCTTCCAGAGTATTTAGAGCTCCATCACGGTACACCAACTCTTTAAAATCAACCCACAGAAAAAACGCAAGGCGATAAATCCGGACAGCGAGCAGACCAAGAAATGGCTCCATTGCGTCCTATCCACCCTTCCGGAAACTCATTATTTAGATCAGGAGTTACCAACCAGGGGGACGCGCCTGCCAAGGCGTTTGCATTTTAGAAAAAAAAAACAAACGACATTAACAAATAACATTACAATGTAATGACTAATTTACTCACATAAAAATAAAAATTTAATATCATATTCACTTATTCTGTCAGCCGCTGTTTCAAAACCCGGCGTCGTCAATCGCAGTTCATGCAACTTTGGAAAAGACAATATGAAACCCGCGCGCATCCCCACCGCGCTCCACTTAATATTGATCACTTAGAAAACTATTGTGTACTTTCCAAACGCGGATGAGCATATGTGACATTCATTCCCACAAACTTGTGAATAATTTGACGTTTCGTTGTACATGTTTTGTTGAGAAATCTGTTTGAGTGTGTCAAATTGTTCTGTCTCACAGTTAAAAGGTAAGTTTGTGTTTTTACAGACTTCAGTTACCATTTTTATTTAATTTACCAAATTGTCGATTAAGTAGAGACGCGTTCATAGATCGGCTATTGGGACTTTTTTACCACATCACAATCAAACCAACGTGGCGAAATACTTTTGAAACGACGAACTTTAAGTACATCATATTGATTCCAAATGTATATGAATATTCAGGGGTTCATATCAAAGCTTCATCTTTGGAATCGAAAAGTGTCTTCTGAAAATGTTATATTTTTCTCTCGGCTGTTCGAAGCAATTAAAAATAACATACTGGGCGTAAATTTAAAAGCTGACACATTTGCAAGCGCTGGAAGACGAATTTCGCCGATACTATCGAGACATCAATTCAGAGTCACCAATATGGCACATGACAAGAAATCCATTTGTTGTCAATGTGTCACAACTACCAGAAGAAGTTCAGGAAGAATTTCTAAAAATTAAGGCTGATTCGTCCATGAAGGATGACTTCCATCTTTTAGCATTAGAGAAATTTTGGATCAAAAGATTGCCTGTTAATTCGACACTTGCCTCTCTTGCTTTACGAATATTAAAACTAAACGGCGAAATCGTCTTGATGTCGATAGCAACCTGATGATAGCTCTGGCAAAAACAGAACCTAGAATCAACCAACTGGTACAGAACATGCAATCTCAAATGTCTCATTAGTACCTACTCTTATTTTATTCCTTTATTAGAATTAAAATAAAAATCTTTGTATCGATATAATGTACGTTTTTTTGTATTTATTGAAATAGTAAAGGGGGCATGAAAATATATTTTATAGTCCGGAGAGCTTCAGCAAAAAAAATGAAAAGGCTATGTTGAAAATTCTTTTTACAGCATGCGGATTTTATGCTGCCCAAACATGATTCTTATGTGGCCTCATCAGTGCCTCTATTCTTGATTTTAATAGAAAATCACACTCTCCCTCTTTTTCTACTCCCGCGGTTTTCTATCGATTTGAAAATACTGTATTCTTGAAAGGACTCGATAGAAAGGAGAAAGGAAATCAAGACACAGGGTTTTCAGATTTGGGTAAACGTGTTAAACCAATCAAAATGGAGATATTTTTGACAGTAAAAAAACTAACCAAAGATTTTGGTCATGATTTCCTCCTTATAATTTTATCTACGGAGCCGAAAACTTTAAAAAACACATTTCAAATGAACAAAAGGACAAAATGATTGAATTTCTCCGGGAGCACCTGGGAAAATTCAATCATAGGTTAAAAGATACTGTTTTAGGATGACTAAAACTTAATATCTACTCATCTACTCTTGTCTTTGTTGTGATCGAAAGTGCAGAAGCTCATGGGAGTGGTTATATGAATGGAGTCAATATCTCCAGCAATTCATACACCAAATCTTTGGTCAAGCTAAACATATGTACACATTTTCGATCCGAAATTATGAAAGGATCTCGGCGCCCAAGAATATCTCTCCCAATCTCTCAGTTCTCAACATCCTCGTTAATAATATCGTTCCAATACATCAATTGATTGAAATTAACCAATATGTTTAGCAGGAACGATAATAACAATGCCAAATACACTTCAATTTTTAGGTTATATGGCGCTATTTTCTACTAATTTTTCAGGTTTCTCTTGGTCGGACCAAGAGAAATCGCGACTCCCTAAAGTGAATTCATTTCTATCACTTTCCGGTAGAATTGATTTCAAGAATACTGCATTTCTTGGCCACACCTACTTTTTGACACTTTCTCTCACAATTTCTACTCCCTCAAACTCAAGAATAGAGGTCCTGCACACAAAATTAATTTCCTAAAATTTTAATTCTTGACGAATTGTTCGAAAAGCCACGGGCAAAATGCAACTTTTCTAGGATGATTTTCAGGTTGTAACGCTTGTACCCGTTAATAATGATAAGGATAACACTGTTATTATGCTACTTTTATATGGGTGATTTTTGTCCTACAAGTAGCTAAAATAATTTAAACAACTTTGAAAACCCTGTATAGTAATAATATAATATAATAAGCTGTTATATAATGCATATGTTTATTCAGAAGTTGAATATTGTGGTATTATCTCATACCCTTACTATGAATGGTATAACACAGCTACTGAAACAGTAGAGCGGATAGCGGATGTTTTCAAAATTTGTTTTGTTCAGGATTGGCATAACATATCCAGCGCGAGGTGCAATCAATAGGAACTGTGTAGTCGTTTGAAACAAAGTAGTGGCTGTGTGTCATTATTATTTGCTTACTATGGTAACTGTTCAATAATTTAATTTATTGCTCTACAATCCTAAGATAAATTAAAGTTAATAAAATCCAAATGCTGAAAAATTTTCGAGGAGTCCTTTGAAATTAGAATTAAAGAATCACATACCTACCTTCCTTTTTCAGTAAGATGAACCAGATTCAAATTCCTGAACCACATCGTTTTGGATATCCTGCTGTGTTCCCGAGTCGAATGATCGCTCCAATCCGGGCTCCATATCCAGTTACTATTGGCCCAGGTCCGGCTACAATTCCACCACTTTATCCTTACCCGATTTGGTTTAAAAACTGATTGGTGCAAGTACGGCAGCCAAAGGCCAACAATTTGGTAGACACGCCATGTGCGAGGCCGCCCTCTAACGATACGTTAATTACGTTCCCTTGTCCCACCTCAAGGAGTGTCGTCAGCATACAGTCTTCCCTTAAGTTTTCGCAACAGTGGCGTCTCGTGGCTCTATTTGCTTTGCGGCGGACCCTGCAGTTTTGAATAAGTTCAATGAATTGGGAATTCCTGGGCCACAATTCGAGATGTCCTCTTAAATAATTATAAAATTATACATAGCATTTAGGTAAAACAAACGGTGACTCTCTTCTGAAATTTTAATGTAATTTTATCAAAATTAGCTTTGTTGGAACTACGCAGTCTTTCGTTAGTTTCACCTGCTCCTCTCTAATGATAATTTCCAAACCGCATCTGTCAACGCGTGCGTCGACAGTAGAATCGTATCCAGCCTGGCGCACTTAACTCCTATCAGCTAGGGGAAAATTCTAAAAACCTAGCTGTTTGTCTCCTCTTTTTCATATTTTCCCACAATCATGACAAATATTAGTAATATGCTAGCCTTCGGAAGTCTTAGATATCCCATGATACGCCTCTGACGCGTGACCGTTCAGTGCCCGGGGTAGCTTCTAATGGTGCGTTTTCACGCTCATGCAATTTGCGCAAATTGACTTGTGCATGCCAATTTGTGCAAGTGAATTGGTACATGAAAACGAAAATTGTTTACTTGCGCAAGCCAAAAAGTTTATCTTGAGTAAAATCTGGATGGTCAGATAATTTGCATGTGGTTGGCACAAATGCATGAACGTGTAAACAACGCACCAATTCGACGCATGCGTAGTGGGTAAATAATAGTAAACAGAACGTGCACGTGGCTTTAATTTTCGGCTGTTGTACGGTATTTTGTTGTGATAAATAATGTCAAAGAAAGAAAAAGAGTTCATGGTAGAGTTTATGAGCTCTATAAATCTTTTCCTTGTCCTTGTCTGTGGAAGGTGAAATCAAAACAATACAGCGACAGAAATGCTAAGTCTAAGGCGTATGATATTCTCGTGGAAAAAATGCGCACAGTTGAAGAGAGTGCAAATCGAGAAATTGTAGTAAAGAAAATAAATTCTTTAAGAACGACGTACAGGGAAGAATTAAAAAAAGTTCTAGATTCTGAGAGGTCCGGTGTAGGCACCGACGATGTATACGTTCCACATCTGTGGTACTTTTCGCGGGACCAGGAAAGTCCAAGAACCTCTGTGTCAAATATGGAAGACGACAATGAAACGCAGGTAAATTTCTTGTTGTTATTTATGCACCTAATAATTCATTAATACATTCAGTGTTGGATCCACGGGGGGGACGGGGGACTGGGGAGGAATCCCCCCAAAAAAGGTTTCCACAATGTATGACATCGAGGTAGCACTGGAAGAAGTATTGAAAAGATTTTCTAAAATGGTCAAACATCGTATAAATTTCAATGTATAAAATTGATGTTAATATTTACATTCAAAATAAAAAATATTTCTCTTGACGCATTATCACAAACATTACATTTTCGAATTCCCCCCCCCCCCCAAAAAATTTCCTTCTGGATCCGTCCCTGAATACATTAGTAAGTGTCGTTAAATACTTGGGTTAGAAACCATTTTATGTTGCCATGAAACATTACCAGAATTATTGAAATAAATTTCAAAACTTTTCCTCACTTTTGCCTTCGGTAGTGTAGATTGTGACTGCTTGCAAGATCTAACAAACTGTGATTCTGTGTTCGCAGTCTCTGGGTAATGACACCAGTAGACGTATCTTCAACGTCAAATACGTCAAGAGGTGTATATGAATTCACCGAATTTCTGCGTAGAAAATTGTGAAGTGCACAGCATGCCAAAACAACTTTGACAATGTTATCAGCTTTTAAATTAATACATGTATGAAATACTCTAAAACGATTAGCCAGAATACCAAAAGTATTTTCTACTACTCGTCTAGCTCTACTCAAACGGTAGTTGAACACTTTTTTTGGATAGTCCAGCTCTCTTTGATTATACGGTTTTAAAAAATCGTGTCGTATTGCGAATGCTTCGTCTCCTACAAACACATAATTCAATGTTGGTTCACCGGGTACAACTGTCTCTGGTGGTGGCAAATTAAGTTTATTTGCTGCCAAATACTTCATAAATTTGGTGTTTTCAATGACCCCTCCATCAGATACTCGACCGTTGGTTCCAACATCACAGTATATGAACTCGTAATTAGCATTTTCAATTCCCATTAAAACTATGCTGAAGGTTTTCTTATAATTAAAATAATATGATCCACTTCCTACGGGAGCTGTAATTTGCACATATTTGCCATCCATAGCGCCTAAACAATGTGGGAAATCCCATCGTTCTTGAAAATCCAGTGCAATTTTCTTCCATTCCTCTGTAGTTTTCGGAAACTGTAAAAAATAATTCAATGTGCATAACTACTAACTGTATCTTTTGTACGTAATATGTGGATCATTTACTAGTTTTTCTTTTTAGAATTCTGAGACACATGGAGTTCAGTCCGAAGATAATTCGTCTCAACCAGCCACCCCACATTCAATTATATCTGAACCACTTACACCTCGGCCAATACCACAAGCAACTTCTAGAGCAGCAAAAATGCGTAACGATAAATGTGATGAAGTCTTGGATGTAACTCAGAAACGCTTTACAATGCCTTCTGATGTTGACGCCAAGTTTACGCTCATTGGAAAAGCTTGGGCCTGCAAGTTAAAGGAACTTTCGCAAGTACAAGCAACTCGGAACTCTAAATCGTTATTGTACCTTGCATATACAACATCCATTATACAATCAGCAAATAGTACCGTGTTTACAACCAGGGTCATCATAAAATCATCAAATCACGCCATCTTTGCCGACGCCTCCTTTACAAACAGGACCATCCTCTCAGCACCAGATACAATCAAGTTCACAAACACTTCTGCGATCTTCTCTTTTTTTTGTCTTTAGGCACTTTTAACTTTTTAATTAAACAAACACCAGCTACTGCTAATAATTCGTCTTCGTAATCCATCTTCAGCTTTGCCCAACGACAATCTGAACTGTACTTTTTTAGACAAACTTGTCCATGATTCTGGGCCGGTAAACTGTACGTTAGGACGCTCACACCAATTCAGTTTAATTTGCGCAAATTTGCATGCATAAGTTGATTGGCGCAAATAACTTGAGCGTGAAAACGCACTATAACATATGCTAACCAAATGGTTGAGTTTCAAGTTTCTCAGCACTCCTTTAGTTGTAAAACTTTATAGTTATAGCAACCAAATGTTATTACAGAATAGATCTCCAAACCACGCTTTTGTCCCGGCCTAAATGTCCATCTTTATAGTATCCAGTTCTATTATCTGTTTTCTTCGAAATATGGATTTCATTTCCCTTGGCGTTCGCTGGGTGGTTTGCAGATGCGAGTGTTTGTTCTGTCCTTAGTTTTTATGTTTATTTTTATTTTATGGACGAATTTTTACAAGGGTAGGCAGCATGACGAATTATTTCAACGAATTTAGAAATTGATAACTTGGTTGGCTACAAAGCGCTTCTTGTTGGGATCGGTGGTGGGGGAGCCGACAAATACGACGGTGTTGCTCAATTTTGCTTAGCGTCATCCGCTATAAACAATCTCTAGAGATCTTATACCTCGAAACAACACATCTATTGCCAGAGTCCCAGATTATGCTGGCTTATTTTAACAGTTAATTTATTAGATCGAAGCAGTAAAAGAAGACAAAGGACAATTTATTCGTCAGACTTACCATAAAGTGGGCCAGAAAGTTCTTGTTTCGATGGGATGCAGCGTTTACCGTGGGCTGATGGACTGTCTAAATTAGCAAAAATGTTTACTTAAGTTTCCTCATCTACGCCGACGTCAAACAGAGACGAGACAGAGACCTCATGTGACAAAAACCATAAATGTTGGCAGAACTTTTTAAAGCTTCTTTTAAAATATATTTTTCAATTGTTTCGTAAGAAGCATAAATCCTCGTTAAGTGCTTATACCGCTGAAATGCATTGCAACCACGGTTTCACGTATGTTATAATGATGAACAGACAGATATCTAACAAAGCTACCTTATTCTTATTAGAAAGTTTGAGCCCTTGTACTTGATAATGCTATTTTTAATGAATAGATTGCTCTGGCCATCCATCGAGCTCGATGCATGGCGCCTGGCGGAATCCTGAAGTTTTTCTCTGTAACCCCGCCAAGGAATATTATTGAAAGTTCTATTAGTTCTCGTCTAATTTGGTTCAATTTCTGCATAAGAACGTCTGATAGCTGTCGTTTCGCAGATTGGATAATTCTGCAGGAACATTGTGAAATAACCTTTCCTTTGTTTCAGTCGGTCAGCTTAGGTTCATTATCCTGCGAAAAGATAGATGATAGATATTTCATTGTTCCCCATTTTTTCAGCAATGTTATTCAAGTTATTGCACAAAATGTCAACAAACTTGTCTGTACATAGTGCTTTCCAATACCATTCCACGACATAAAGCCACAGACAAAATTTACCTGCCACCATGTTCCACTGTTAGGCTGACATGTTGATATTCTTATTTATTTATAGATCTTACTTATATATATGGGAAAAAACATTATTATACATTATGATGAGGAAGAGAGATGGAAATATACAAAAGTATGTAGGTGCGTGAAAGACACTCGATTGTAGGATCCTATCTGGCAGCGTCGGAGTGTGACGGACAACGGGGTAAAGTAGAAGAATGATAAAAGAGAGAGGCAGAACGGGCGCTGGCGCCCGCTGCTTAGACGGATGCGCTCAACAAATGCGATTTGTTTCTCCCATTCGCAGAGTTGCCGATACCAGTATGCCATATTTCTAAGAAATCTAAGTCTACCCAAATTTCGGGAAAAATAGCTGCGGATTCTACATAAGAGTATTCCAAAAATGAAAAAAGTTCAAACTATTAAAATTGTATTAATGTTTCATGGTTCAAATCATATTTTTCATGTTTGTATATTGTTGTATAAATGATTTTGTAATCCCTATTCTTGTCGCCAGTAGAAATACAACAGTATTGAGAGAAATCATGGACCGCTAGATAGGGCTACAACTACCATATGACTATCAAATAGTAGTGATAAACAGGGTTTGTTTATAGCCGAGTTGCCTGGTGTGGCGAATTTGCGCCACAGGGGCGATTTGACAACTTTGAAGGACAACTATAACGGGTACTATGGTGCCCGGTATTCGGGAATCTGGCAATATCTGATGATTCCTAACGTTTATTACGCCAGATTGTTTGCTGACTTGCGCAGTACAACATGACAATCAACGTGACTGAGCACCTGGTAACCCTGGTTTAAGGTGTTATATTAAAAAGCTTGGGGCAGTTAGGTATCTAGGTCACATTTTTTAATGTATTTCGAGAAATCCGTAATGTTGAGTAAATACTAGATCACGTTTCTTGCTTAGTTTGCCGAAAATTCTACAATAGACGTACATTTTGAGAAACAGAGATTTGGTTACGACAAAATCTTAAAAATATAACGCATTTTCGTAAAATAATTTCTTTGTTGAAAAGACTGTGGCTTGATGACCCATTGAACGAGGATAGTGTCCCGCTCCGCTTTGAATATTCGAAACACTATACTCCAGCAGCACTCAGCTTCAATGTTATCTTTATGAAGTTCTAAAGTCTAGGCCATGCTGATTAAAAGCTTGAATGAATCAACACTTAACTCTAAATTCCCCACAATTCGGGAAGCTCTACTCAAATTGGCAACACAGCGTATCTGCCTATTATTCTCATTGAGTCGATAGAAGAAGTACAGTAGATGCGCGCATTACGCACCAGTTCGATTGGACGTCCTGTGAACCGATTTCGCTGATTTTGAGATTTCACGAAATCACCTACATCACTCTACTTATTTTTATGAATGGATAATTGGTTTTGTAGCAATAAAGGTTGCGTCTCAGAACAAAAATAACAAAAACAAAACATAACGTTGCGTCTCATAACAAAAAATAGTACACTCTTAAAAATGTGTAACGAAAATAAAAAGATATTCTAACAAAAAAATAAGTTCTCAAAAATGAAACGCAATAATAAACACAAATGTTTCAAATGGTCCTTCACAGCTGGGGCTCAAAAACGTCTCCTTCATTCAATGAACAGTATGTCAGGCAGTTATAAAACTCCTGACGAACTCTCCAGAGGGTAGAAGGCTGTATTTGCCCGAGCGCTTCAACGATTTTCACCTGTAGGTTATGCAAATTGTCTGCTCTCTCATTGAAAGTGTAAACAGTACTTTTCACATAACCTCACAAGAAGAAATCATTGGGCGCTGGATCGGGTGATCTAGGAGGCCATTTTATTGTTCCGTTACCGCCAATAATCCGCTGGCCGAACACACTTTCAAGGTAAGTGTGTACGATCGCCGCATTATGCGCCGGGCATCCATCTTGTTGGAACCAAATATTAGCGAGATCAATGCCAAGCTGCCTAATTGCAGGAACAATCTGCGTCTGTAGTAACGCCAAATATTTTGCAGCCGTAAGAACGTAAAGAACGGTCCGATAATGTTATTACCTAGAATTCCTGCACACACATTCAGTTTCTGTGGATACTGCGTCGGACGGGAATACTGAGGTGTTTATTTTCCTGAGACCAATACCGAACGACTGAAGGATTGTGATGACCGTGGAGAGGGAATGTTGGTTCATCAGTAAACAAAATGTTACCAATAAAACTTCCATCCCTGTTCGCCTTCTCCATGACCGTTTCACAAAACTAGATTCGACGGTATTTGTCTAAAGAAAATATTTCTTGAACCGTTCCAACCTTGAAGCTATGATAGCCGTTGCGATGCAAAATATTTCTAGTTGTTCTGGGTGTGAGATCGGCTATTGGTATCATTTCAGCAATTTTTCTGCTTGAGCATGGCTCAGATACTTCTGCAGCGGCACAAACAGCAGGTTCGATCTCCTGCCTTTTCTCGCTAATTTTTGGTTTCCAACCTTCAGGGTGCATGCAGCTATGGCACTTATGTAAGCAGCCCACCCTCTTGAATTTTTCGTAGGTATTTATAACCGTTGCGTGAGACGGTGGATGTACCAATCTATCATTTGAAACTTTTCTTCTTGCGAGTACATTTTTAAGATATTTTGGATTAAATAAAGACGCACCTTTCCTACACAAAACCCAACCGCAGAGTGAGTCATAAATCCCTTATCGCACTTGACAACGGCACGCGCGTTATCGGTAGGAAATATGTACGAATAGCGATGAAAGTAGACGAGCCGATGCGCTGTTGCCATGAAATGATTTCCCATGTATAACAATGGTTTTTCCTAAGGTGTATATATACATATCCTTGAAATTCTTTGGGATGAATAAAAAGTTTTGCAGAAGTATGCCATTAACTTAAAGTCAAGTTTGCGACGGTCTATGCCATCATCATCAAGGGACTAGGACAAATTTTGGAAAGTAGCAACAATATGTAATTGAAAGGAGTATCGTTATTTACTGAGTCGGTGAGATTTGTTGCTGAAATTGTTGTTAGAACGAAGTAGAAGACAACACATAGTTAATGAGCAAAAAGCTGAATTGTTGAGGTTAAATTAGGAAGAGCTTATTTTAATTAATAATTATTGGTAAAACCATAGCTATGCTTGCTTTTTTCAAGAAAACACTGACGGATTTATTAACTTATTGAAAAAACTTTCGAACAATAATTTTTACCGGAAACCACTTCGTCTTTATCACGTGCTGAAACTGACGAAATGGATGAGTGACGTGTGACGTTCACATTATTGACACACCATCGATCAGAGAAAAAGGAGAGAGAGAGAGAGAGAGAGAGAAAGAAAGGGATAGAAGACCTATGATGTGTTGCCTACCTTGTATGGAAGTGTTAAGATGAAGGTGGTTACAGCATAAAAAGAAGTTCAAAATCTATTTTCAAATTAATAAATATCATTATGGATGGAGTG